TATTTGATAATTTAGTAAATTTTTAAAATGTGATATTTTACTCAATATGATTTTGTTGTCTATCGTTAGGACATTTTTATACTTTTTGAATTAAGTTTAATTATGCTTTATTTTCTGTAATACATTAGAAATAAATGTGGATATGTGATTGGGATTAATGTTATAGTATTATGATAATAATGTGCGTGTAAAGGTTAAGTAAAAACTAGTTGACCTGCTAGTTGAAAACTAATTGACTTTAATAGTATAGTGGGTCGACAAGATTTTCTTTAAATATTGTGATTTGGTATTATCCTCTTTTGATTCATGTGATACTTATTGAAAGTTATAACGGTATGATTACTCTGCCGACAGGCAAAGAGTGACAACTCTATTTATTAAGCCAACAATTTATTAATACTTATATGATACTAAAAAATACTATGATTGATATATTTCCTACTTGTTTAGTGTGACTACTAAAATGCATATTGCTTCTTTATCATACTTTAATTTCATTTATAGGTTTTAATGGCATGCTCGGCTTTTACCTTATTATAGGTGATTAAATGATTTCAAGTCAAGGCAGGGGATCAGAAGTGTAAGTTTGAATAGAATTTTTAGGTTCTATTGCTTTATATTTTGGTTATCCTTTTGTACTCAGAATAGAGTAGTTAGGACATGATTGTATAAATTACATGTAATGTATATAATTTATGGGACATGACATACGTGCCACATCAAGTAATTATATAATAACATGAACTAACACTGCAGTGCTAAAGGATTTTCTCCATTGTGGTGCTTGTTGACATAGACCCACTGCTTAATGAATTGACGAGTCACTTCATGGGTAGATTATATCCTGAACGATTATAACTGTAGCGTTGCGATGTTGCTAATAGTTGAGTGATGCGACATCAACGTGGCACTTCCTTGACTTGGCATCACTGAAATTTTGTATCGCGGTGCTATATAGACAGAGACTAAACCTTAAGAGCTAATTACGTCGACGTTGTGGTGTTGTCAAACAAATATTTGGCGCCACCATGTCTATATTTGATTGCTCTGGCTATGTCAACAATGGTGCAATAGTGGTATAATATCTAACGACACGGCACTGTACCATGCTTAAAATTTTTTCAATATTTATGTATTTTTCTATACAAACATAACAAAAATAATGCATTCTATTTAATAAATTAATACATAAAATATAACATTTTTTGCACTTATCATTGACCCAAAAAACCAAAATTAACCGGGTTGACTTGAAAACCTTATAGGGCCGCACCTATCAATAGTCCATGCTTAATAGTTCATAATCTATAATCTGCACCACGCTCATGTGACCGTATCTGAACTCTATAGTTTGCACCCACTTTGTAGTTTACACTCCTCTCCCCCAACACCAAGCGCACCAATCCTAAGTCAAATCCAGCTTCCCGCACTCGCGCGCATCAATCCCACATTAGTGTCCCGCACCCGAGCACACCTAACCTACATCCATTATCTCGCATTCGAACCCACGCCCGTGCCTGATAGCTGGCACTTTACTGCACACTCACCTGAGTGCCGTATCGCACTCACGCTTTTCGCCTAGATAACATTCATATACTACGCACCCACATGTTCTCCCATACTACTCGGATCAACAAGATTTTTGTTAATGGGTTGTGTTGAGTCAACCCGACAACTCAACAATCTGACAGGTCGAGTCCAGGGTGGAATTCCTAACCCATTTATAAAACTGGGCCAGGTTAGGGTCAACTCATTTAGACTCGAGTAAACTTCGTGTTGGATTTGAACCCAAGCCTAAAATTCATTTTTGCACCCCTACATAATAGAATTAAAAATATCATTCTCATCAGGATTTTTGTAATGAAGAGAATTATCCTCACTAAAAATAAGCATGAGAATAACTTGAGGATTAGAAATCTCTTCCACACTAGTAGAAGTACTAAAAGTGGATTGGAAATGAGATACTGCCAAATTGAAAATGGTAGACTGGTCTATAATCCACACATTAGTCTCTAATTTATTTATTTTTATATAAGTGGAAGCTTATTTTTTGTTAAACTAGATTATGGAAGTATTTAGTATTTCTATCTCCTTTAGAATTGTGTTTTATGTTAGCTATCTTCCACCAAACTCCTCCTTTCTTAGCTTAAAAACAATTAGATAAGAGGATGGATTTATTAATCTCATTAGGATTATCAATGAAAATATTCTCCAAATGAATGACCTCATGCTCAGCTTTTTTAATATTGTCAAAAATATTACTGAAGGTATTTTATTTGACCACTGAAGTTTATATTTCAAGTTGTTAATCATAAAGAAAACAAAAGCATACCATTAAACCCATCATAATAAGCAATAGGTACCTTCCAATTCTTCTCAACCTCATTATAGAATCAAGGTCAAGGATCCATCAAGTGGAACAAAAGATGAAAGTTACTGGAAAATCAATTGTTGCATTTTCTCAGGAAGCTGCAATGAATTATGGATCTGATATAGAGATCTGAAGCTGGATGAAGAAGATTTGTTTAAGACCTTGTGTGGAATTGTTCTTGTGGCATCTATTTAATGATGTTATTTCTTCCAATAGTTTCTTGAAGAAGATTGCTTAATTATTCTAGATGTCTGAGAGGTTGTACTATGGTGGAAGATACAAGCCATATAGCTGTGGAATGTGGAAAATTAAGGGAAAACATAAGTCTTAAATAAATGGGGATATCAAGTTCTAGTGTTCTCCAATTTTCTGAATTGTATAAATGAGTTAAGGAGGTTATCAGGTACTAACTCTTTCGATTGCTTTTGGTGTCAAATACTTGCATTGGGACATAGTACAATTAGAATTATTGGTTGTTTGTGCTTTGAACAATGTTATTCATAAATGGATGTTGGAAGCATAGGGAATCATTATAAACTGAGATAATGTTAATATCATCATATTACTTCAACATTCTTTGAAGAAATTGAAGAATAATGAAAGGTTGGAGGAAGATTTTGTCCTTCATTCAAGAGTTTAATCAAGTTTATGTTAATTTTTCTAGTATAAATTGTAATAAATTAGCTGATTTATGTGCTAATTTTGCTTTGTTTAATAATTTTATTTAGGACGACCTTAGTTTTGTAGACATTCCTCCATCTTTCTTGTTACATTTAAAGGAGGAATGTGATGCTTTAGATTTGCTTTAATTAGTTTTTAATAGCTTTTTAATTTAATGCATGGAGCATTTCCTTTCAAAAAAAAAAAGGCTCAAGGATCCACTTATTTTGAAATATAAAATGAGAACCCTTAAGATTATCAAAGGGCATATTAGAAATTAAAAGAGGATAACTACAGGAAAAACGCCGCTTACCTGCGGTTATGACCGGCGGTTAAAGGACCGCCGGTATTACCGCCAGTTTTTTGCATTTTTCCTGCAGTGGATCATGATCTGAAGAAGTCCTACTAAGACGATCCACATTAGTTTTAATAAAATGATATAACCAATCATTATCAAAAAGAATTCTATCAAGTCTCTTCCACGGCTTATAGTTTGACGAAGTGAATTTCTATCCAAAGAAACTAATATCCAAGAGACCACATTTAAGAATCATGTTATTAAAGTCATCCATCGCCTCCAAAATTAGGAGGGGAACCTCCAATCTTTTCATGGCATTTAGAAATAATATTGAAGTCTCCATTAACAAACCAAGGAACATTGTAAACATTAAAAAATTTAAATTAAATGCTGCCAAATCGGAAGACGAACAAATCTAATAAGGTTCGCATATATAATAGATCCCTTGACAATCATATTAAAAATAGATAAATTGCAATGAACAACTTGACCAAAATCACTAATGAAGCAAATTAAATTTATGAATACAAATCAGATCAAAATGAATTTTAAAATTTTATTATATTTATTTTAAGATTAGTATAATTTAAATTTTTCATATATAATATGAAGACTTTGTTTGGGATAGTTTTTAACTGTTTCTTAAAACAAATTTTTAGTACTAAAATATTAATTTTTATACTAGAAAGCTGCATGCTTTAAGCAATAATAAGAAAGCCGTCCTAAATGAAGCCTAAGTCTATTCTTATATAATTGTTTTTTCAAATTTAATTAATTTCATGTAAAGCTTTTGTTTTACCTAAAAAGGCTTGGTTAGAAAATATTAGAAATTATCTTCTTTATTAGATTTAGATGAGAATTTTACCATTAAACAGACTCAATGGAGAAAAAGATTTCATGTATTCGACCCCATGTAGGATAAAGAATTGTTTTTGTTGTTCTATGTATGTGTAATTTTTGTTTAAAATTATATACGGGAAAGCTTATTAAGTGCTTTTAAATTACATGGTGTCAATATTTTCAGCTACTGAAACATATACATATAATATTAGCTTGTTATAATTTTTTTCTTAATTTTTTTAGTAAAATTATTTGATATCGAATACAAAGATGATAACGGTAAGGCTTCATTTGAGATAATTTTTTGCTATTATTTTTTTTGTTGTTTCTAAAATAAATTTGCACAAATAAAAATTTGCTTTAAAATGTAATAAGAAAATTGTACCAAAAAAGCCTAAATAAAGAGATTTTGTACAATTTTTGCAGCATCTGAATAGTCAATTAATACATAGATTTAGTTAAGAAATTGTACACATTTATTTATGGGTATTATAGATAATAAACCAAAAAAAATATAAATAGCTGTGAATAGCATTATAATTCAGTATAATAAAATTTTTAATTGATTATTTACATATTAAATTTATCTTAAAATAAATTAAAAAAACTATGAGATCAATCACACCCAAAATTTCATCAGTATTTTATTTCTAATTAAACTGCTCGGTACAATTGATCAAAACAAAGCAAAAAATAACCACTAATAAGTTGTTGCTTCAATTTTACAACAAATAACAGAAATTCAAAGAAAAAAATTATATATATAATTTTCAGCAATAAAAAATAAAAAAAATTTGAAAAAAAAGGAATATTGGAACAAATTAATATCCTCTAATAATTATTTAGTATTTTGGCCTGAATATGAACCCACACGGCCTCGCTCGGCAACCCTTTACTAACAACGAATAGCATATACCAACCCGGCGGCGCGATAACCCCAGATGGCGGCGCTGTCACCCTCACCCTAATCCTCTTCCCATCATCCAACGGCTCAAATTCCTCCATCCTCAAAACCAACAGCCTCTGATTCATCGAAAACCCATGCGTCGTAAACGGCGGCGCGTACATCGTCAACTTAACGTCCTCTCTCACCACAACATCCATTAATTCAAACTCCACGTCAAACCCCTCCGCGTAATAAATCTCCTTCCGTACGGTGTCAGCCAATATAACCGGCCGCTGCGCCGCCAAATCCAAATCCAAATACGGTGGCCGGAATTTCTCCACTCTTAGCTCAGTCGGAAACAGCGCGCTGAAATTATATGCGGGGTTCGTGTTGCTGCCGGCGACAAGGACGCTCGCATCCGGTAACACCGCGCTCGAGGCGTGGTACATTCTGGCAATTTTAGTCGGCGTGAGCTCTGTCCACCGGCGCGAGCGGGTAACAGCCGGTTTGTAAAGAAGAGGAGAGAAAGCCGGATCACGTGCGAAGTCCCATCCTGCACAGCCTTTGGTCGCACCATTGATTATGAGTATATCTCCGTTTGGCAGTATAAGCATATCCCCCATGGTACGAGGGACCGGCATTCTCTCCATCATCCAGGTCGCATGCGGATCGGTTATGGTAATCCGCCCGCATGATTTAAGAGCGGGGAGAAAAATGTCTCTGGATTCGACGAGGTAAAAGGAATCGTGTGGGGCGCCTCCGCATATGAGGACTTGTGCGGGGAAAGGGGTGGCGCGTTTGGCGGGGTCGGTGCGTTGGCGGCGGAGATTGATGGGGAGAAGTACGGACATGGCGGAGGCGGGGTAATTGCGGGACCCGCCGGGGAGGATGGGGAATTGGCGCAGGATAAGGCCGGTGCGAGGTTGGAGGAGAATGGAACGGTTGTTGGCGAAGATGAAGAGGTTTCCGTCGGTGGAGAGGTGGATGAAAGGGTAGAGATTGTTCTCGAAAGCGTCGGTTGTCTCGCGGAGGAATGGAAGTTCGAAGAGTTTTGGGTTTGCAGTTTTTTCGGCTGGGATGAATTCGTAGTTGAAGGATCGACGCCCGCCTATCACGACGATGCTCCCGTCGTCTAATATCTGCTGAGTCGCATACCTGAAAATCTTGAATTTATATATTTTCATAAAAAAAGGGAAATTTAAATAATTAAAAAAATAGAAGTGTCAATAATAAATTGTGGGATTTCTAAAAAACTAATAAATTTTTTTATGCATTTATATATCAACATTTTTTTAAATATTTCATTATTTGATATTCTAATTTTTAAATTATATTAAAATATGGTAATATTAATTATTATATTTCTTTATTTTCGGTAGATATTTTGATACAAAATAAAATACAATTATTATATTTCACATAGAAATAAATTAAATTTTAAGATATTTATAAAAATCTCCTAAAATATAATAATTCAAAATAAGATAAATTATTGAATATTGAGGATCAAAGTTTTCTAGGTAAAAAGTTGTAGCGAAGCTAGAATTTTTTTTAATGTGTGAGCATAAATTAAAAATTTTCAAATATTCCATCAATTATTTTTTTCATTCATACTTAAAATTGTTATTAAAAGTTTTTAAAAAATATTTTATTTAAACTTATTATTTAAAATAAAATAAAAATTAGATGATAAAGACATACAATTTATAACACACATTCTTCATATTCTTAAAGAATTAATTGATTACTTTTGATATGTCACAATAAATTACCTTCGTCGAGCACTAATCTTGAGGCATATCCAGTCTAGAAACTTCCGAAATTAGATTTGGGATCATATGAACTCAAAGTTTAGCAAACTTAAGGACACCAAAAATTAGTCCAATTTGAGCTCAAATAAGCTAAAATCAAGGGCTTTGGAGCATATTTGGAAACTCGAAACCATTGATTTGAATATCAAATGATATCCAAATGTGACATGCTTAATCAAATTGAGTGGCTCAATGAGAAGAAACATAAGAGCTTAAGATGGCTTAATTTTGACATCACTAAGGCATATAAATGCAGAATACATAATCAATAATGAGAGGAATCAATATGGGCCGTTTAATGGAGTAATCAAATTTTGCTGAGGATCTTATTCATATTTATGGAGCATGGCACTCTCAAAATCTATAAATAGACCTTCTCTTACCAAATGAAAGGGGGCTTAGACTTTTGAAGGCATAGATCCTCGACTAGAGACTCAAGAGAGCTCTATGGCTTGAAGCATCTAGAAGCTCTACCACAGCACCACCACTAACGAACCCTTTCCTCTTCCTGACCATCATCATCGGACCTCTATCTCACTGACATTACCGCACCTTCGTCTAATCTCTATCGCCTGCCAACTACAATCCTTCTGACCACCTTCGTCTGCTGTCTATAGTCTCCCCAAACTCAATCGACCAATGACTATGATCCATCTGACCTGCTTTGCCCAATGACTAGGGCCTCTCTAATCTCCATCAATCTTAGACTATGGTTCATTAGACCTCATTCTCCTATGGATTACGATCACTTTGACCATTATGTCCCACCGACTACAGTCCATTCGACTAACTTAGTTCACCCATTATGGTCCCTCCGACCTCTATCACTTTTTGACACTGGTCACTCTGACCATTATCTTTCGTGGACTACGATCACTCTGAACACCTTTGCCTGCTGACAACAATCCCTCAGACCACTATCATCTGCCGACCATGATCCCTCTAACCTGCGTCACCCATGCATTACAGTACCTATGACCTCCACCCATCAAATATTTCCCTTAGACCTTCATTGCTTACTAACTACAGTCCCTTCAACCATTGCTTTCCACCAACTACGGTCCCTCCAACATTTATTGTCTGTCGACTATGATTTCTCTAACCTTGGTCGCTCACAGAATACAGTCTCTCCAACCTCTATCATATGACTATGGTCCCTATGACCTTTGTCGCCTATCGATTATGATTCATCATACCTCTTTCGCCCGCTAATTATGGTCCCTTCAACCATTGTCACCCGTAGAATATGATCCTAGTTACCTTCAGCACCGATTCTTCCCTCCCAACGCTATTGCCTGCGACTATAGTCCCTCTGACCCCTTACCGCCTGCCAATTATGATCTTTCTGATCTCGGTCACCATGTATCAGTCCTGCTAACTATGATCTCTTTGACCTCGATCATTCGACAACAATTCATTCAATAATTGTCACTCAACTACCAAAAAAAATTCTTTCTCCATATACTTAATATAAAATATCAATCATTCATTAATTTTTAGTTCTATTTTATAGTTAATGTTTTTATAATATTCATATTATAAAAAGAACTTTCAACTTATTTTACATACCTTAATCTTAAAACAAATTTTAAAATTTTTTGTATTGTTCCGTCTTAGAATTTTCAAAGCGATAGAGTAATATAAAATTCAACGTCTTAACTTTGTATGAAGATCGAGAACACAATCAGATAAAAGAGAGCATGCAGCATTCATAAGAGACATCAGAGTTTTTACGTGGAAACAACAAAAATGGGAGAAAACCCATGGTTCCTAGCATAGTTTGAATACATCCACTAATATATGTAGTTGATTACAAATGAGGCCCTTCCTTGGGAAGAAGGCCTTGATTTGATGTAGGAAATATACATCATATAGATTATATTACATGGTGAAAATTAGAAGAATAATAATTGATATGTTAATCTAGTTAGAATGACAGTAGCCGGCGAGCGACTATGGTCGGAAAGACCATTGTCAAGTGATGGAGGTTGGAAGGATCGAAGTTGGTAGATGATAAAGGTTGGAAAGACTATTATTTGGTGGAAGTCCAACAATAATTGAAGGCCAGATGGAAGTCTGGCATTAGTTAGTAGCCAAACAGAAGTCCAAAATCAATCAGTGGCCGGGCTGAAGTCTGACGTCAGTCTGGCATCCGGGCTGAAGCTGATCGGCATCAATAGGTGGATGGGCAAAAGTATGGAGTCAATCGGTTGCAGGGCGAAAGTCTGGCATCGGTTAGAAGTCTTACAGTGGTTGAGGGGGAGTCTGGTGACAAGAGAACTCCAGTTTATCTCTCTTCTTTCTGTTCTTTCTCTTCCATCGCTTCCTTGCTAAGGGCCCCCTTCCATGAGAAATGAGAGTCTATTTATAGTTTTCTAAGAGTGGCATGTCTCATAAATAGGGAGGAGTTCAAGGGAAACAGGGAGTTGTTTGAATGGACGGTCGATGTTGATCCTCTTAATCTTGGATAGTTTACTGGGTCTTTGAATGTCTTAATGATATTAGGATTTGACTATCTTAGGCTCGTTGGATTCAGCTCGTCGTGCCGCTCAATTTGACTATAAGCATGTCACATTTGGAAATCTTTTGGTTATTCAATTTATGATTTGAACCTTTTAAAGATGCTTTGAGTCTTTGATTTAGACCCATTTGGGCTCGGATTGAGTTGAAATTAGTGTCGTTGGGTTCGTCTATTCGAGAAGTTTTGTTCGATTATAAGTTTGCAGAAATCGGAGTTCGGATGATCTCACATTTATTTTTGAAAGTTTTCAACTTGATTTTGCCTTGAGATTCATGCTCGATCAAGATAATTTTTTGATGATATATCAATTATATTATCCAAACATAATCTAATTCTATATAATAATTAGAAATATAAGAGGATGAGTAAAAGAATAGATGTAATTAACTATAATTTTATTTTAATAATGAAATAATAATATTAACAATATAAACTTAAAAATACGTGTGTATGTCTTGAGATGGGGGCATGTCTTCGTATATATTTTTATTCATCTTATTCTTTTAAATAAATAAATTAAAAATTGAATATGAAATTAATTATATTCGTATGATTACGTACCATCTCGGTGCCTTGAGCATTCTGGCATAGTCTCTCCAGTCGCATGTTGCACAAGTGCTAATATACCTCACAGCATAGAATCCGTCTTTCCAACCACCGGTATTTACAAGAGTGCCATCCATCGCAAACCCACCAGAGGAGCACCATGGGTCTGTCAAAACCTATATTTATATATATGTTCATATTTCTCTTTCATTATAAAAATTATTATTTTTATATTTTATTTATTCATAGCTTTGATAAAAGAGATTATTTCGTGCGGTGTCCGAATAGGTCACGTTACCCAATACATTGTGTATTAGGTGATATGACACGTCCGGATGTTTCTAGATGCGTCCAGACACCACACATAATAAATTCTTCTATGATAAACACTATCCTCAAATGTTTTAAAATAATTTTTTATCATGGGTTAGAACATTTTTACCAAAATGTTTTCTCAACAAATTTTAAAATCAATAATCTCTCAAAATTTGTTCTGAAATCATTCAAAGGCGAAAAATACATAACAATCAAACTTTTATGAGAATATATGTAAATATTTTTTTTAAGGGGGTAATAAAATTTAAGCCATAATCTTTGAATTAAAATAAAATCATGATATGTTTTAGAACTGTTAAATTTGCTTGATCAGTTCAACACAAGAATAATCAATTAATTTTATATTAATTCACCTATCTCAAAGAAAATTTTTAAAACTATTGAATTTATTTTGACATAGATGCATAATGTAATTTATTGGAACTATAACCTCATCACACTATTTTTTTCTAATTAATTTCATTTGTCACCTTAAGAGGTCGAATTTTGTAGGTCTCCAAATCAAATTCAATTGCGTGGGCCCAACAATCCAACATAGCAGTTTTCCCGGTGGGATCAGACCGACAGTTACTAGCTGTCAGAATGGCATGCGACGGCCCTGATGCTGTCGAATCGAACATGATAGCTTTATTCTCATGAGTTACAACCAAGTGCATAGCCGAAACGCCAGAGTCTTCACTAACAATTTCCCATTGCCCGAGAAATGATGTTTCATGGTCGAGCCTTTGCACAGGTTGCTCCGACAACAGGTCGCCGATGGGATTAGATTGGTGGAGTAAGTCACCAATTAAAGGGAACTGAGCGGTGGAAGTAGTGATGAGGAGGAGAAAAGAGAGGAGATTGGGAAGAGAGAGAAACCTCATTTTTTGCTTGTTTCTCTCTCTATTTTCTAAAACATATGTGAAGAGTGATATAAGGACAGGATGAGGATAAAATTGAATGTTTATACGAGCCTAACAAAATTTAGTTACTGAGGCCATCCAACTAAATTTGTTTTTTTTTGTATCAAATGGGTTGTATAATAAGAAGTAATTTGGTACTATTGATAAAGATTATGTTTAAGATTTTTATTCAATGGTATTCAGCTTGATAATTAGTTGAGCTTAATTCATTTTTATAAGTTTGTATCTTAATAAAGCATTTTATATGCCACAAGATATATATTTTATAATTTCTATTTGAATTTCAATTTGAATTGGGCTTTATGCTCGTGCTAGCTAGTATTTCACGCGATAAGCTAACAACCAAAATACAAATATCATTCGTATAATTTTGTGTCGTATGTTATTCTAAAATGGGTCGACCTAATCGGACCCAGTAATGTAAATGGGTCAAAAATTCAAACCTGGACTTGACATGGGTTGACTGTCACGACCCGACCCGACGGGGACGGATCCCGCCCGAGCCGGATCGCGACGAGAGACCTTTCTTAACCAGGATCTGGCTTTGGATTAGGTTACTGAACTGATCTTTCAAATTCTTAACTCAACAGAAGCACACAGAACAACAGAGCTACTAAAAACATCAAATGCAGCGGAACAAAACATCTATCTTTTCATTTCCTCAAAATAATCATCTACAGAACAGTACATGGCTTTCAACAGAAAGAAAGACAGAACAGAAAAACCATGACTGTACAAAAATCAAAAGTACAAAAGTACCTAATCTGATCAGACTCTGAAACCTAGTCCTGAACTTCCTTGCCCTTCCCAGAACCTGAAAACCACCAGAAAGCAAGGGTGAGCTCAACAGCTCAGCAAAGCAACAAACCACCAATCTAAATTCTCAGAAAACAGAACCAAATTCATCGGACAGAAATCAGATCAGAAATCGGAACAGAATCGGAAATCAAAACTTACGGACAGATATCAAATAATAAAAAAGAAAAAAAAAAAAAAAATATAAGAATGAGAGCTGTTAGGATGGAAGTAAAGACGGCCCGATGAAGACCACTGCCGCAACCGACCGCCCGACGAAGGCCACTCTCCACCACCATTGGCTGACAATTGCCCCGACAAGCCACCGTTTTCCGTCCGTCACCGGCCAACTAATGTCATTTTAAACTTTACATTACATTTATTTTAGTTCAACTCATACAATTTTTTTACACTCATCTAAATAAATTCAAATATTTCAAATCAGCTACATTTATTTCGTACTGTATTCTTTTTACTATGCATTTTAAAACCTCGAACCAAACAGGGCCCCTATTCTTATTATGCGTTTCATTAGTTTGAAGCATTAATATATTATTAAGCTCAATGGGATGTATGAAATATTGACTGTATTCGGGGCGAGCACGTGAAGAGCTAGCGAGGCTCTGAAGCAGCAATAATCAGTGTGAAGTGGGGGAGGCCTTGCCCCCGACTTGTTGCTTTCACTTACAAAGATGTGCACATGAGTCTTGTCCAACAAAAGCCTCCTCTCTCTCTCTCTCTCTCTCTCTCTCTCAGTCATGAAAATCAATAGGTCCGGAATATTTTGACAAAGTGATGACTGTTAAAATATAAATTTAAATTCAATTTTTTTTTTGAACGGGGTATCCACTTGCTGCCACTCTTGAATGGGTGTTTGGTGGCGTGACTAATCATCGGCTGACTAGAAGAGGCACCCACCCCAGAAATCACTGGCCCGCAGTTGATTGTGCCCCACTTAAGAGACACTGCCACATGAGGAGAATCGAGCACGGGTTGGGGGCTCTCAACCATACTCACCCACCAATCAAACTAAATATTGATGGGTTAAATTCAAAATTTATAAGATCTTTTATTAACTACATAAGTTGATGTATATTGTTCTCTCGTATTCTCTTCTCTCCGCCACTTTTTCTTTGCAAGATAAAATACTTTTATTTTGGGTAAATTGATGGATTAGCCCATTTCATTACTGATATATCATAAAAAAATTATCTTGAATGGGCACGAATCTTGAGGCAAAATCAAGTTGGAAATTGCCAAAATTAACATTGGGACGTCCATTTGAACTCTTATTTATGCAAACTTATAGTCGAACTAATCGTCTCGGAAATATGAACCCAACGACACCAATTTCGACTCAATCCAAACCCGAATGGGTCCAAATCAATGATCTGATGCACATTTGCAAGGTTCAAACCATAATTTGGATTATCAAATGGCATCCAAACATCACATGCTTATATTCGAATCGAGCAGATTGACGAGACAAATCCAACGAGCTCAACATCGCTAAACTTAAAATATCATTAAAACATTCAAATATCCAATAAATAGACCATGATCAAGAGAATCAATATTAGCCGTCCATTCAAACCACTCCCAATTTATCCTTAATCTTTCTCCTATTTACTTGTCATGCCACTCTCCGAAATATATAAATAGATCCCTCACTTCTGATGAAGGGGGGATCCTAAGGAAGTGAAGGAAGAGAAGGAATATGAGATTCTCTCTTGCCACCAAGCTCCTTCTTAACTATTGTCCGGAGTTCTGTCAGACCACCAACTTGCATCGGACTTACACTCGGTCGCCAACTAACGTAGGACTTCCACTGGCTACCAATTATTCTTGGAATTCTACCCAACAAAATTCTTTCCAACCTCCATTGTATGCCGTCTATAGTCCTTTTGACCACCGTCACCCTACTACGGTCTTTCCGACCTCTATCGCCCACTTACTATGGCCCTTGCGACCAAACGAATACGTCAATTGTGATTCTTTTTATTTCATACTATGTAATGCAATCCTTATGATTTATATTTGTTACATCAAGCCAATGCCTTCCCCCAAGGAAGGGCCTCATTTATAATCAACTAAAAATACTAGTGGATTCTTTCAAACTGAGCCAGACCTCATGATTTTCTCCTATTTTTGGGTTTTCTGTAATAATCTGTATTTTGACACAAGTAAATAATTTTTTTTAGAGTCATTATAACTACAAATCGCAAGTTATCTTCACCATAATATTTTGATTATAAAATTTCACTTGCACATATTATTTTATAATTTTTGGGCACTAGAGAAAATTCTTAAGAAATTGAAATATGTCGGTACAGTTAAGAATTTTGGGATATTCAGGTATTCGTTTTGTAAACCGATTTCACCAATATTTTTTTTAAGTAAAATGATTTATTTTATAGCTATTTTTCTATAATTTTTTAAGCCCTAAAATAATTTATTTAAATTTTATACTAAATAATTGATTAAATTAAATATTATATTATTATTTTATTAAAATATCTTTAGCCACTTAAATATTTTCATTAAAATACATTTTATCATGAAAGAGAAATTTTTATAAAGAATACGAGAGAGAAAAGAAAAGCTCAAATTTGGAGCTCACAAAGTGATTTTTGTTAGTTGGGCCAGTTAGGAAATTTATTCGACTCATTGTAAGGAACTTTTATGGTATTTTTGATTTCAAAGATTTTATATTTTTAATAGTTTTTTTATCAAATATGTGTTTTTGTTACAAAAAAAGATGATAATTTTATATTGGTAAAACTTTCATATTATAACTTTTTATGTATTATAGAGATTTAGATTATGAATATTTTGAGTATTTATTTGAAATTTTTCTCCATGTGAAGTTTAAACTACAGTGATTTTTTCTCCTCAAAAATTTATTTTAACATCTAAAAATATTGATTTAGTTCAACGAAAGCTTCATAATGCAATTTTATGCAATATCTAATAATTTGGTTAAATTGTAAAAAATGTGAATTTTGCTCAATATGATTTTTGTTACCTACTGTTAGGATATTTTGGAATTTTTTGAATTAAGCTCAATTATGCATTATTTGTTACAATACATAAAAAATGAATGTCAATATGTGATTGAGATTACTATTATATTACTATAATAAAAATATGTGTGCAAAAGACAAATAAAGATTAGTTGACTCATTGGTTGGAGACTGATTGACCTATATATGATGGTGGGCCAATAAGCTTTCCTTTAAATAAAATAGTTTGGTGTTATTCTCTATTATTTCACATAATACACTGGTTTGGAGTTATAAGAAGATTATTACTATGCCGATGGACAAAGAGTGAGCCAACAGTTTACTAATACTAATACTGAAAAATATCGTGATAGCTAAGACTTCTTACTTATTTAGTGTGACTACTTAAATGTATATTTTGAAGCATTATTCTTATTATTATACTTGTTTAGTGTTTGTTCTTATGTGTATAATGATTGCTTTATATATTTGACACTCATACTAGTTAACTATTTTATTAACATTTATACTATAGTGTTTTACTATTTATAGATTATACTACTACTTCTATATGTGAATTTAATTATTTTAATACTAATTTAATGTGATCATATTTATATTAATGCTATGATTTGATCTTTGACATGCATATTACTCCTTTATCATACTTTAAATTTAGTTATAGTTTTTGGTGACCTATTGAGCTTTTTAAGCCCATTATATGTGGTTAAATGATTTTAGATTAGAGTAGGGGAAGAGGAGTGTGAGGTTGGTCAGGTTTTTCAAGTTCTATTTCTTTTTGTTCAAGTTATTCTTTTGTACTCATGATAAAATATTTATGATATGATTGTATAAATCTTGAGTTTTATATATGATTTTTTGAATTGAATATAGATGTGTACATTAATATTTTAAATTATAAAATCTATTTTATTGTTTATTACTGATAGATGATATTAAATAACTCTAGTTATTATTTATTAAAAGATAAATGAATAATTCTTCAAAATTAAAATTTGTGGCATTACAATTGGTACCAGAGCATAGTTGTTGGATAGTTTACTGAGCCAATAGTTTATTAATGTTGATACTAACACTAAAAAACACCATGATGGCAAGGACTTCTTACTTATTTATTGTGAATATTGAAATATATATTTTAAA